TATTCATATATATATATATATATATATATATATATATATATATATATATATATATGTATGTATGTATGTATGAATATGTTTGCGTGTTTGTGTGTGTATGCAGTGTGTGCAATGTGTTTCGCTGAATATGAAAGGAAAATTTTATTCATTTTCTATTTAGTTTGATTTAGTTAAATCTTACCTTATTTAACAACGGAAATGGTGTGTTGAAAGTTGTTTTTTTAATTGAAAGACGCTCACTCGAAATCCCGTCGCGTTGAGCACGCTAAGGGCAGAATAAACTAGTATTCAAAACATTATAAAAACACATTCAAACATGAAGTGAAATTAAGAACACCTAAAAAAATAAAAAAATAAAAAAATAAAAAAAAAACTTGAAAATGGCTAAAAGAAGTGGCCAAAAGGGTTCAGAACAACAGACAATTTTGGCACCTCCCTTACTTTCATCAAATGGATAAAACGTAAGAACGCTGAAAAAAGAAAGATTAAAAAAAATAATTAAATGTCATTGTCTGCCATATTTAACGAAAGATGTTTAAAAGTAAGGTTGCTGTTCAAATATACATTAATGTATATTAATACATACATATATATATATATATATATATATATATATATATATATATTTTTCTGTTTCATTTTATTTTTGATGATGATCCGGCGTCCTTTAAAAGGACTCTGGTGAAATAAATTATTATAATGGTACCTTAAAGTGGTCTGTTTTTCTTTTAAATATTAGCTCTGAATTTACATTGAGCTCTCAGGATTTCATCCTCCTTGGGATTACCCATACGGCTTACCAAGTTCTTCATAACTTATATATATATATATATATATATATATATATATATATATATATATATATATTTACAACAGCATGCCTGTACACATTCGCAATGTAGAAAAATTCTGGCTGAAAATACATCTATACTTTTTCGGGATAATAATAATCATAAGCTAAAAATTCATGAACTTATCTATATTAAAAAATTGAATCTAACCTTTTAATAAAATTAATTATGAATACTACACAAATGTTTTAAAACGTTTAGAGTAAATAGTTTAATATATCAATCTAGGTTTTAACTCTCTATACTTTGGAATAGTTTTTTCTTTCTTTTTTTTTAAATGTTTAGAAATTTCAATAACTTAGTTACCTGCCCTTGACGTTAGTATGTGTGTCGACATGATAAAAATTTTAAATTCTACAGTATGTAACTTTATCGTTTTTCACTCCACACATAAAAATTTAATTTTCAGATGAACACAACAATTTTCTCTTAGAAAAATGAACACAACAGTTTTTTTGTCTTAGAAAAAGCAAGACCCTGATGACGACACTGTGCTAATGTCGAAAGTACTCGAATTAAAATGAATATGCGTCAACATGGTAATTTCCTTTCTTCCTTTAATAAGGATATTAAGAAACTTGTCCGTAATTATGAAAAGATCCCATTAAAAATAAATATTTAATGAGACATATCTTAATCAAAACATGCTACCAAAATATACGCTATGTATAAACTTAGTTGCATGCATGTGAGATTGTAACCCTGGGTTTCATGCTTTTGCCATCCTCAGACACAGCTCAGTTTGTCTGAGGATCACAAAGGCCAGAAACCAGGTGTTACAATTTGACATCAATCCAACTCAATATGTTAGCTCGATCACTGATATTGAGCGCTTTCCAATAAGTACGGCAAATATATATTATATAAATAATATATATGTATAAATCACACACACACATATACACATATATACATATTATGCATATATATATATATATATATGATAAAATATAGTTTTAAGACATGCTCTTCATTTAATACAAAATTCGAGAGCCACTCAAGGTAGAGGTTTACCGAATGAGATGTGTGATAGGAATGCAAGAGACAATGGCGGGAAGTGAAGATAATGATGTTAAGAAGAATAGAAAGTGATTGATCCCCGACTTGAAGAGGTTAAGCTTATAGTTTTTAGGGATGCACTTACGTAAGAGTCTATTCCACAAAGTAGTAATTCTGAAGAGGAAAAAAAGGCTCTGTGTGTGAAACCTCCTCCTTTGAAAAATCGAATACGAGGCTAATGGAGCTGATTCAAATCAGTGGACGTAGCATAGCGTGTCCGAACTGTAAACTGGTGCAACTAAACTGTGTAGTTCATTTGTCATGAAAATAGCGATGGCGGAGTAACAAGTTTACGGCGTTGCGTCTGTGGGAAAGAGCTTCCAGACTGGAAAATATGTTACACCTCGCGTCAACGATTTTAAACTCTATCAAGGCTGAAAAATGGGTACTAGTCAACTGCAGCCCATATATATTAAATAATACCCAATGTTTGATCTAAGACCGTGATGGGTCGGTGGTGGCCAAAATATAATACTACTCATGGTGACTGCTTCACTTTAAATTCTTAATTCTCGTTTGAATATATTATGTAACACGATGTACACAAGTAAAATTGCTATATTAAACCAAGAGCTCTAAACTGTAATGAACTGAAAAGTGTTTTTATTAAAAGTATCTGATTTGCAACTTCAAAAATACTGAATCAATTGACATATTTTAAAATGCCATGTCCCTTCAGGATGAAGTCGGTCATGGCTCTCTACAACTTACTTTTCTTTATTGTCTGAGTAATTGAAATAATTTCTTAATAAAGACTGAAATTATTTCATATTGGCTTCTCTACTGCTTTGAATTTCATCTAGTCTCCTCTACTATGTCTCTTCAGAGCGTAGGCAATTATGGCTCTCCGCAGATGGTTTTCCTTTATTGTCTGTGTAATTGGAATAACTTCTTGAGAATAATACTGAACACCTTTACTGTCGCCTTCTGCATTGTTTTGAATTCAGAGTTTTCCTTGGATAGTGCTGACAATGTGAAGTAAGAGATATTGGAGGCATGGTGGAGAAATGGATAACGGTTTGGATTGAGACATTCGGAGTTCGAATTCCAATCGGCTCCATTACATTCACTTATGTGGGAAAGGTATGAATCCACCACTTCTCCCCACAGCTATGGGTAAATAGCAGGACAGTGTTCTGTAGCCTTGGGTGGCAACCGGTCTAGGAGAAAATAACTCTTAATTAAAAACGTATATAGCCCTGGCGTAGCATATACTATACAGCTAAAGAAAGGATTGTTCGCACTGGCTTGATTATACGCAATCTGATTGCTAAGCAAGGCTAGAGAGAACAGTTTACAATACTATTTCACCTATATATTTTGGGAGCGGTAGAAAAAATACATCCATGCCTTTTTCAGGGCTATTAGTGTGAAAGTGAACTCGGCTCGTTGACTTTTCTATGATCACCATCACACTATCCGCACATCATGATTAGACAACTTAATAGTATCCGTGTTGGTTCATTTAAGAGATACTGCCTAAAAATCGATTTTCCTGAATACGGTTTTATTAAAATAATCTATGATCGATTTTTCTGGAGGAAATTCTTTTTGAAAGAAAAATCAAGAGTTATTTGAAAATAACCAGAAAGAAATCAAAATGCGGAAAAGAATTAACAAAATTGATCTGTTTTTTTCTTTTTTCTTTTTTCTTTTTTTTTTGCTTAAGAGTCTGTTTTACTGCAGCTGTTAATTGAGCATTTTGGGGGTTAGTAGTGTAGAATTACTGGTTATTTTACGATTCAAATGAAATGATACGGAATGGAGCTAGTTGCCTTGGTGAACAAATTCCGGTTGATACCTGGGAAATAAATAAAATAAATCTCGCGAGAACGAGCAAAAAGATCGTAATTTTTTCGACATTTTATTTTTTTTTTTACATAGGGTAGCCATTAATTCTGTGCGATTTCCATCATTTTCACTCGGCGATTTTTCTCAAATTCATCTATGTGTCGTGTCCATTCGTGGCTCTCCACAATTTTCTCTCTTTTGTATTTCTTAATAGATTTTTTCTTTTTCTTATTCTCTCCTAAACCTTGTTCCGCCATCCATTTACTCAAGCTCTCTCAGTAAGTTATGCATTGTTTTCCTCTGTCTTTTCAATATGTCCTGTAGTGTATCAAAATTTCTAAACATTCTTTCCTCATTATATGACCTAAAAATTCCAGCTGTCTCTTCCTGATATTAAGTATAAGTGTCCTTTTTATTTCCATTTTCTCTAAAGCTTCTTCATTGCTTACATGTTCGGTCCATGTTATATTCTCAGTATCCTTCCAAATTTCTATTGGTTGACTGATATTGTTTTGTGGCATATCAACCACTAATGGTTATTTAATGCTGAAATATAAATACTTTGAACACATGGCTTCAACTAAATATATTTTGAGCGCAATTGTATACCTTCAACTACAGATAAAGTGTATTGTTGGTAATTTTTAATATAAAAATGTATTTCTGGTATATTTTATATATAAAAATTTATTGCTTGTATTTTTATACTTTCATAGTGTTTTCTTTTTTTTGTTTTGAGAGTGACTATTTGCCCATAGCTGGGATCCTAACAGGTGCTACAACCCTGGGTCAGGTTGAACCTTGGAACAACAGCAATTAAGAAGTAGTTCCAAGCTCCTCAAAACCCCCACTCTCCCGATCAGATTGCTACCGGATGTACTTTATCGTCATACTCAGGACTACCAGATTTCTGTTGCTTCACATCTAGTCTTTGTCTGGGAGTAGATTGTCCAGTATTCACTGGCATATAGGAGAATTTTCTCAAATAAATAAACGAGTTGCAGTTTTTAAAAAGTAGAATAAAAAAACATCAGGAAAATATTTCTATGCCTTATTTGCTTGTTTTATTCAAATAAATATAAAAAAAATTATTTCTTAAAAAGAAAAAAAACGATAGTCTCTTCATTTTTCAATTATTTTATTTTTAATTTAAATATTTAGTATGTAAGACATTCTATTTCATAGTTTCGACACGTTTCCTAAAATAAGACAAACTGTGAGTCACAACACCGAAGCACTAATTTTTTTATGAAACTATTTGTGCCTACTTATGTCATTTTTCTAGTAAATCTATGTAACCAAACGGTAGATAGATAGATAGATAGATAGATAGATAGATAGATAGATAGATAGATAGATAGATATGAATAAAATAACACAGATATGAACAGATGGCGAAAGAAACAGAAAAAGAGGTAAGCCGACTATGAGAGACAGGTTAATATGAATAGACCACGACAGATACAATTCAACATGTATGTACTTAAGAATGTTTGTTCATAGGAGAAAGAAGATCCTATCTTCATGTAGACTAGAAGAGACGAGGACACGCCATTTGCATCAACGGATTCCTACAAACAAAAAGAAAAAAAAGGCACCAATTTCCTCACAGATGTAATTTTAGATGAAGACAGATTGATGCAAGCTAATGTGTTTTGTATTTTGTTACTGTTTTTCATGTTTGGTTTGTCACAGAGACAACCCACATAGAAAAACAAAACAAATTATCTCGTCTTTATATATGCCTATTCATTTGTGGGCTGTTTCCAATGTAAATGGGGATGAGGGGTGGCCATTGCACTTGCGCGTCAATATGCACAGTTGGGAGTGTGTGTGCCGTTCTATACGTTTGCTAAGTTTAACGAAATCTGAACAATAAGAACACAGTGTTGGGGGCAAAACGAATGAAAGTATTCATTTATAGAAGCTGGTTACAAAAGACAAGCAAGCTAACTAAATTTGTTTTTTTATCGCAGTCGCCACGAGATTCATTAGAACGGTTTATAAAATAATAAGCGACAATTCGCTTCCGGATAGACCTGTCTGCTAGCGAATCCCTGTAGCAGACATCAGCTCAGGCATATCCATGTTTCTTCAATACGAACATAGAAAACGTGTGGTTTGTAAGTAATTATACTGAGTAGACATTAGTTATGGTTTCTGATTGAGCGCGCACCATCTGGGCTGATCAATAGTTGAACATAAAAATTCAACGACAACAATAACAAAATTTACTCACTTTCGTTTATTAGGCATTAAATTACATCACTTAGTTTCCTCCATAGTTTACCTTGACTTTCATAGTTAAGCTTAAGAATATTTTTGAGTGTTCTTAAAGTTAAATGTTTTTAAACCTAATGATATTTTTACTTCTGTTTGTAAATACTTGTCGCAAAATAAAATCTTTACATTAGCTTTGATAAATTCCATCCGACGATAAAACGTGTTGGTAAAGAAAATATTTCCTTTTGTCCTTATCAGTCAAATATATATATATATATATATATATATATATATATATATATATATGTGGGGGGGTTTAACAAATATGGATTACCACCCGACCAAATGATAGGATAAGGAACAAATAACAAACTCTTATAAATTTAACATGCTTCGCTTTTAATTAAGCTTTATTATAATTTTAAAACAAAATTAAAACAAAATTTCCGATGAAGCTTAAGTAAAAGGTAAAAATCAGAAATTTATAAGCATTTCTGATTTCTTGCTTATCCTATATATATATATGTGTGTGTGTGTGTGTGTGTGTGTGTGTGTGTGTGTGTGTGTGTGTGTGTGTGTGCGTATTACAATATGTTTCACCCTGTACAAGCCTGGGGCCACTCGAAATAGAGTGTTACATTAAGAGGCAGTTTGTACGGATAGGAGGGGAAGGTAACGGTTAACCATAGATTGTAGTGATCGGGGAAACATCCTCTTGGGAGTCAGTTCCACAGAGTAGTGGTTCACGAGAAGAAGCTGTTTGAGTTGAACTATCTTCTCGCTGATGAAATACAGAGGGAATATGGGTGGGTTTTGCTACAATGTAAGCGGGACATTGACGTGAAGGTTAGGTCTGGCCGGCCCAAGAAATGTAGTTCCGTGAAATAACAATAGAGAAGCGAGAGGTTTACCACATCCCATCTGAGAGAGAGAGAGAGAGAGAGAGAGAGAGAGAGAGGTTGGAGGGTGGTAATAATTCGTCACCCACAAAGACTCGGAGACGCTTTTGGACTCTATTGAGGCTGGAGAGTGGGGTCTGGATAGCTTACGCCCAAATATGACAAAAGTACTTCATTTTCAGTCTGATTTGGCTCTTGTAAAGTTGAAGGATATCAGAAGGAGTTATTTACTTACTGGAGCGGTACAGGGAGTTGACCATTTTACCTGCATCCATCTTTAGCGATAGATCGTATGTACGACTTCTACTTGTGGATCTGGGGGATTTGCCAAATAAGGAATACTGAGAGATTCTTAGACAGATCCACTTCTCGAATGACCAAGCAACATATTAATGACTTCTTTTTATTATTTATTTCGACCCAAGTAAAGCAACAGAACCACTAACACGCAGTGGGTCCCTGAGTGTGAATAATATAAAAAAAAAAACATTATTAAGTAGCGAGAACAATAAAAGAACGGGAATTAAGAAAACAGAAGTTAACGATTGGCATTAGAATTAAATTTTTGAATATAAATCTCAACTGGAAAGTAAGATGCTGGAAGAGTGTTCCACAAGCAGAAAGTGCGACAGAAGAAACTCTTAGCATAGAACTTACAGTTGCATCTAGATGTTGCGACTGTAAAATTTTGATATCTTGTCACCAAGCTTTAAATTCATAGAGTCTAGGTAACACGAAAGAGAATTCATCAAAACACTTACCATGAAAGTACTTATAGAAAAAGCATAGGAAAGCTGCATGACATCATTATGTGACTGAAGTCGAGATGCCAAGTCAGGACTAATAATATTGCAGATTCTTATTAGGATCTTTTCAAGTATTTCTAAATATATAACAGATGTACCGGACCATATGTGGCAGCAATATTCTAAGCATGAACGAATATTAGACTTTTAAATATGTTAGATAAATTCAGACAAGATTAATTTTCTCGCATGATACAATGAACCAATCTTCTAAACAGCAGACCTAGCAATGTATTCGATAAAAATCTCTCCACTTCATGGCAGTGGAAAAAGTTAGCCCGTGAAGTTGCAATGTGTCACTCTCCTGGCGGTTAGCATCAGTTATGCTGATGGAAAGCAGACGATTCCTGGCTTTCAACTAGATGATGCATTCCAGACCTGAAATGGAGGTCAGATATACGAGCCATTGTTAATGATCCTTGAAAGATGGGCGGCACATTCTATCGCACCAGGAAGTACCTAACTTCTTCTACCATGCTTTATTTTTAGAAGCGTTAAACCAAGAATTAGAACATTGCTGTCATATTTGGTCTGGAGCTGTTCAGTCCACACTTGACAGGGTTTAAAATTGTTTTCGCGGCCTTGTGGGGACAGCTCTTTGTTTCACATATTCATTTTAATCTATCGCTGTTTCCAGATGTTCAGATAAGCTCCATTCTTTAGTTTCGCTAGTTCAAACCCTTACACCTGACACGACATTCTACGCCTCCTAAATAGAATCGATCCCATTTTCCACATATTGCAATTGTAAGAAAAAATTCTACTCATTTTTTTTTTTATTTACTCAAGAACTGGCATTTGTGTAACAGACAGCCGTAACCTCTTTAAGTCAAGGTTCATTCATTATCTATCTTCCATATGCTCATGGTCTTCACTTCCTATCATCTCCTCTTATAATCCATGTTGTTTATTTTATTGATCAAGTAGACCTTCTGTTTTCCTTTCTCTTGTATTTTTAATAAGTATGTACGTGTCTGTCTGGATTCTTGTGCTCATTTTTGTGTCAGTCTGTTAGAGTTAGAGTTTGTACATAATTACTGGAGATGGTAGTGAGATGTTGGCCTGTCTGTGTATCATATTTGAGGCTGGTCTTGTGAGATTTGGGTCATAATGTGTGCACACATGTGGTGTGTCTAATGGGCATTTTTGCTTCTGTCTGGTAATGTCCATATATTCATTGGAGGGATGTCCCAGAAATTTCAGCTGCCTCTTCCTAATGTTAAGTATAAGCTTCCTCCTTGTTTGCATCCTCTCCAAAACCTCATCATTGCTCACATGTTCGGTCCATGGTATCCTTAGCATTCTTCTGTAGAACCATATCTCTGTTGCCTCGAGTCTCTTTTTCATCTTTGAAGAGGCCGACTAATATTCGCTGCTATAAAGGAGGACAGATATCACGTAGCAGTTCAGTACTCTTTTCTTTGTTACCAATGAAATCCTCTTGTCGTGTAATACTCTGCCTAGCTTTTGGAATGGATCTTTGGACATCCCATTACGTCTTCGGATCTCAGAGTCGGACTTCTTTATTTATTACTTCATTCATTTTCTAAAAATATCTTTCACTATTCCAATGTTTTATCAAATTTCTGTGTTAAACTTTTTGTTAATTGTTATTATATTGTCTAGATATTTGAATTTCTGCTCTCAGATAATTTTGACATTGTCAATGTGTACTTCACATCTTGAGATGTGTGTCCGTTTTGCTAACCACCATACTTTCCATCTTCTTACAATTAATGATAAGCCTTTTCTTTCTATTTTCCTTGACTCACTTGTTGAATCATTCTTTCACTTTTTCTTCTGAATCTGCTTTCAACTTCATGTCATTTGCATTTACCTCTATAAAATGAGCCAACGTTTATTGAGCCAACTTTTGTAGCATGTGGTATCAACTCCGCGTCGCTGTTGGTGACGCCAACGGTTTTTCGTCTTCTTTATATGCCGTGTACCCTCAGGATGTAGGTGATCATGGGCCTCCACACTCTCTGTCCCTTTCAGCTTTTAATGAATACTGTCTTTCTGTTATTTATCCATTATATATATATATATATATATATATATATATATATATATATATATGTGTGTGTGTGTGTGTGTGCACACACACACATATATATATATATATATATATATATATATATATATATATATATATATAATTCACATGAAGAAATACCAGATAGTCTGAATGGGATTTAATATCCATAAGGAACCTTTATTCTGAGAGAGGTTAACTTATGATGAACTCAATAAGTAAATTAGACATTTTTGTATTTATTTTACAGTAAAACATAAAATATCAATAACTACAGTGTATTTGCTTTTATGCTGACAAAAAAAGAAGCACTTTACTATTAAAAAAAACTTATCATACAACGGCATCATATTTTGTTTTCGTCAATAAAACCACCACCTTCCTCAATTATTTCTTTACAAATTCTTGGCATTCTTTCTAACAGATTTTGAAAAAGAATAAATAAAGTAAATAGCAGACCTTCCCAGGTATTCTTCAAACACTGAAAAAGCTCCCACTCATTCTTTGGGTGTTCTCTTAAAATTCTCCTTTCCAATTCATCCCATACTAATTCAATGAAAGATAGATCAGCAGATTGAGGCGGCCAAGTCTTAATTTCCAAAATTTTGTTCCTTTTTTTGACTCGAGGTAATTTTCTCGTAATTTTGAAGAGTGTTTTGGGTCGTTGTCTTGTTGAAAGGTGATTTTTTTTTCAACTAGTCGTATATACCAGATGGCATAGCATGTCTTTGAAAAATTGAATAGTATTATTTTTTTTTTCATGTTTCCCTTCACCCGAATCAAAGCCCATTCTCCTTCATAACCCTAACCGACTCTATAACAGATCCACCACGATGGTTAACTGTTGGAAACACACATTCATCATTCAATCGGTCTACAGGGTCTAATCACACATACACTCTCTCCTCGTAGTGCCAAAAAGCTCAAATTTAGATTCGTCTGCCCAGTAATACATTTTGTCACTCTTCGAATGTTCAGTTTCCATACTTTTTTTGTCCATACCAATCTTTTCTGCTCCTTTACCTTTTGTAACAGGGGTTTCTTGATGGCTATGCACCTCCTGAGCTCCGAGGACCTAAGTTGATTTTTCACAGTTGAGTGCGATACTGGTTGCTGTCGAGAGGAATTAAATTCACCAGTTTTGCTTCTATTTCTTTTACTCCCAATAATCAAGTGTTTATCTTCAGCAGCAGTTGTCACTTTTGGTGCTCCAGTTCTTTTACTGTCAACATTTGCGCCAGTTTCTAACGGCCTCTATAACGAATATTTCACCCCCATGTCTAGAAATCTTCAATTTTATGACAATTTGTCTTTGAGAGTAACCTTCTTCGAATGAAATTTCTATTTATGCCTTCACCTCAATGTTTAGGCGTTTTGATGTTGCCATTTTCTTCAAATTATTTCAAAATTAAAATATAAATTTAAAAAAACTATAAAAAATACTGTCGTAATAGCACCTTTTTTCTTTTTAAACAGAGACAGCTACATATATATATATATATATATATATATATATATATATTAGTCAGTGGTGAGTATATATATATATATATACAAATGAGAGAAAGAATAGATGTAGTCAAATTCGACAGTTCGTAGCATTTACTTTTAAAAAGTGCTCAATACAATGTAGAGCAATATATTATTATATTTTTATTATAAAAGATTATAATAAAAAGTTTTTGAAAACGCTGCACAAAAGCTTTCATTGTACTTCTTCAGGCGATGTTAAGTAACTAGTCCAATTACATACCATCGCCTGAAGAAGTACAATCATAGTATTGAAACATGAAAGCTTTTGTGTGGCGATTTCAAAATGTTTTTATAATATCTTTTAATATATATATATATATATTGGTTATGTTGAAATTTACTGTTGAAATTCCTAGATGTAATCGTAAGTTCTATTCTAATGATTTCTTCTCTCGTGGGTACTTTTTTCAGCTTATTACTTTCCTGTCAACTATGATCTTCAAGGGCACCGTCAATCGTCATATTTTGTTTTTTTTGGAACCAGTTCTTTTATTCTCCTTTCTCCTCATTAATGTTTTTTGCTTTGTTTCTTCATTAAACCCCCTTCCTTCTCAGTGGCTTTCTCACTTTGCTTGCAGGGAAATGATTAAAAAAAAATTATGCTACGCGTGTACGCGACATATCCTCTATCATGTCGTTTTTGTTTTCATGTTGCGTTAGCTGTAGAACAGTCATTATCTCACTGCTGTTTATAGCACATACTAAGCCTCGTTCTCAAAAACACCAGATCGAGGCGACACCATGATTAAAAAACCTTGACTAAAAAAGACTTTTCAGCATAGTTTGAAATCTACCTCGAGACAAGCACCTAAAAAATATTCCGTAAGAGAAGCAAGAGAAGACTCGTTTAAGGAAGATGGCGAAACAGTTGCATAGATAAACAAATAAATAAATCCTGATACCCTCTCAAGGCAGTTATTCGTTAAATGAGGCTGGCTTTGCGAATTCGCTTTTGATGTAAAGATTTATGACGTTACACAAGTAGGAAACCATGATATTTACATTTACTTACTACTGGATTTGCAATTGTAGGAAAGAGTGTATTGTAAATTTAATGATCATGCTTGTGTATACGAATAACTTTCATCGCTTTATCACTTTCCATCTGAGTGTGTCTAAAGTGGTACCTTGTAGAATGGTGATGGAAGGATGGTTGGCTCTTATGACATCGCTTCACCAGTTCAACTTCCTCTTCTTCTTAGGCTAAAAAAGAAGCGATAAGAAGTGGGAGGGTGGGGAAATAGGGTGACAATGTTCCTGAGTTCACTGGAAGATCTTTCACAGAGACTTAGACATTACCACGCAAACGAGGCAAATAGAGGGAGCTGGTCCGGTGTGCAGCGACACTACGAAAACACTCTGTCATCGGACTGATGATGATGATGATGATGATGATGATGATTTGAGTGTTGACAGATTTTACCAGTCAGTGAAATGCTGTTCGTATTCGTTTAATATTGGAGCTTTCATTTATGAATGGTCGTTCAACACAACTTCTGGCTACTTGATTTTTTGCTAAATATATATACCAGAAAGCACTGAAAAGTTCTCGGCCCAGCAAAGAAAGGTTGCTAATAAAATATTTTCAGCTGGTTAGAATTTTGGAAGTGTGTCCAACTGAGAATATTTCAGTTTTCTTTTCAAGAATGAACAAACAAATAAAATAAAAAGTAAAATAAATATATAAGAATAAAAACTAAATTCAAATTGTTTAAAATTTAATGTCTGTAACAATCCCTTTGCCTTTTCTATAAATAATTTCACGATAATTGTTCGGATGAACTCTTCGCTATGGTACCGAGACTGTATGAATTTAAGCGCAGTACTAAACTGGCGATGTGCTCTCATCAGTATGCAGTTCAGTTGGCTAGATGTAACCGTAAGTTCTATGCTAATAGTTTCTTCTCTCGCTTGTGGAACTCCCTCCCGGTTCCATGCTTTCCAGTCAATTTTAATTTACAAAAAATTAAATCCAATGTTAATCGCTGTCTGTTTTCCTCCTGATTACTTTTCTTCTGTTCTCGCTCCTTAGCAATGTTTCTGTTTCTAACTCTTCTACATCCGGTCGCCATTTCCGTCTTGGTGTCTTTACGGCTTTGCTTGCGGTGAACTTGGTTAAAATAATGCAATTAAAATCTTAATACTCAATTAAAATCTTAATACAATTAAAATCTTAATACTTAATTAAAATCTCAATATAATTCTTAAAACAATTAAAATCTTAATCCCAATTAAAATACTAAAAATACAATTAAAAATAAAATTAAAAAACAAATGTTCACCTGCTTAACCTCTTAATGTTTCGTCTCGATAATATAGGTTTCGTTCTAAGCGTTTTAGTAAGATGTAGAAGAGTATCCAAAGCGGATGAATAAGGCAAAGTGGAAAAGCTTTGATTTCGATGAAATTTTTTTGTTTGTTTGATAGATAATTCTTCAGTGCTGGTTTTGAGTCCAGATTAGACTTTGCACAAAAATCAAAGGAAAAAATTTAATTTACTTTTTTACACATAACCTTCCAATCTTAGCTCATGCTGTGTGGGCGTGATCGCACCTCCACACGTTGTCCATCGGTTTCTGCTGACCTTGATAATTAGCGCGTGCAGCAACGCATGTACGTGTGGCTCTGCAACACGCGCTATGTCACGCGATATGTCACGCGCTGATGAACGCGCATACGAATGACCTGCGGAACGCGACACCTGTTCGAGTTGCCCATTGGCTGCGCGAAGTCCCATTCCACGTACAATCAAATGTTGCCGTGTCTTACTGATTGTCTACGCAGTCCGAAGCTCATTGCTATCGCTTAATTCCAACAATTCCGCTTCTACTTCTGTACGTCCAGCCCTGCTTACACATTCCCCTTTCTCTTAGTCAAGCGTTCAATCTCTCTCAAGTGAGGTTACCTTTTCCGTTGCATAAAGCTTACTAATGCAGTTTTAAGGCATTGCTTTCATTGTCGTTTATAGTCGTTACCAATTTGATTTTTTTATTGTCCTACCAGTTTTTGCATAGTTCCCAAGAAGATCGTTAATGAAGATAAGGAACAGAATAAGACCCAGCATAGAGCCTCGGGGAACACCTGCGTTCGTGAGAAAGGAACTGGAAGAGAATCCGTTAAGGAAGACCTTCATTACACGGTTTGACAGGAATTATTGTATTAAGTCAAATAATCGACCTGAAATTCCGTATACCTGAAGCTTATGAAGGAGACTGGAATGTCAAACCCTATCAAACGCTTGAGATATATCTAGAGCCACGGCACGAGCTTCTTCGTTATGGTGAAGTGCTTGGTAAACAAATTCAGTTATGGCTGTGAGCACATCAGCTGTAGAACGAGCAAAGTGGAAACCATATTGCTTGTCAGAAAGCAGATCATGGGATATAAGCTGCTTAACCACTTTAGCGTTGATTAAAGCTTCGAAGACTTTGCCGAAGTGTGGTAAGAGACTGATAGGACGGTAATTAGATGGGTCAAAAGGGTCTCCAGAGTTCTTAAAGTCAGGTACAATAGATGAGGACTTCCAACAGGCTTGAAAGCAAGATTCATTGAGGCAGTAGTTATATAATTTGAAGAGGGCAGGGGCCAGTTCAGGAGCACATTTCCTCAGGACATTGGCTTGTATCTTGTCTCCACCACTTGCCTTATGGGAGTCTAATTTAGAGATTATGCCCAATGCCAATGATAGGGTTATGTGCAACTTGCTCATTAGAGCCTCAGTTCTAAGGGGGAAATTGGGTGTGGGTACACCGGATGAGTCAAGTGTTGAGTTGGATGAGAATTTCAGAGCAAAGCACTCAGCCTTATCAGCTGAGGAGGTCAGGACCTCAAATTGGTTGAACAAAGGAGATATTGGGGATTTGCTGTTGTTAAGTACGCTCTTGTAGAGACGCCAATAATCATTGGAGCCGAATTTGCGAGAGGCAATAGGTTTTTTCTTTCTATCAGCAAATAGTGAGTTTGTTTCATTGGGGACACGCTTGCACTCGTTTCGGGCTGAGACAAAGAGACGTATGTTGCAATCAGACATACAATATAGGCAGAAGGAATGATTCCTATGGGCAACAACAGCTGAGCAGAGAGCAGAGAACCTAGGGGATGAGCGCGACCTTACTTTAACCTTACTTTCATCCTACCAATATTTTGGTATCACATGTAAATTCAAATGTATTATTCTGAGTTGAAATCTGGCACTGTTTTTAATATTCTCCATGCGAATTTTTGTTGAGTTTTGATATATATAATCTTTGATATGTTAGTGTTATTAGCACATTTACATATGTTAAAAGACGTTTAACAATATATATATATATATATATACATAACACACACACACACACACACAATAAATATATATATATATATATATATATATATATATATATATATATATATATTACGGACCCTCATTTAAATTCCTTACAAAATCTGTATCCATGCTTATATTTTAGAAGCATTTTAAATAAAAAGTCAGTACTCTGAAAAAGTGTAACGACAGAAAAAAAAGTAATAAAGAAAATCGAATATTAACAAATTTTAACCAAACTGGTAGGCAGTTGAGCAAACATTGTATATTTTCCTGTCTCTTTTGATCACTTGTTGACGACGTGATTATACCCGGATGAAACCCAGACAGTGAAACGACCTTGAACTCTCTGAAACCCTGCAGATGTGAGAAAGGGTCAGTGACCTCTTTTCTCCCACGCAAGGAAAAGATCCATATTTGGAAATAAAGGTCCACGTTATGAAACCAAGGCGCGAAAAAACAAACCGCACAAAGTTAGTCAGGCTTAAGTAGCCAAGCCAAGCGGATGGAGTTCGCGATAAAATGCGTTAATCAGCTATAATTTCAGGTATGTGAAACAACATTCCTGCGGTATTTACACCGAATGAATTGTTTGGCAGGAAGGCGACAGTCACCTATCAATTTAGATATACGAAAGGAATAGAAATCTAATATGATTCCGAAGCTCGTACAGCTTTAACAAAGTTTAACCCAAAAAAGAAGTAAACTTTGGTACGAGAGGAAAGAAGTTGTATCTAAACCAGAAGAAAGATACACGTTGTTCTGAGAGCGATGAAACGGCAGCTTCAATTGATTCGTTACTCAATTCATTAGAACAGAAATCAGAAAAAAAAGAAGACATCAAAAGAAACGAAATGAGAAAGAAAGTGAAAAGCGATCTAAAAAAAAAAATACAAAAAAAGAGAAAAGAAAAGAGACATTAAGCTACAAGAAGATAAAAAGAAAACGAACTTTGATAACAATCAAATAAGTCATTGTTTCTCTTACATGTTTATTCTTTGCTCAATGTATTTGTCATGTTGTATATTTGCATGCAGACCTGACTAAGATTTTCTATTAATCGTCTAGTTACCTGAGAGGATAAATTCCCCCTCCCGTTATTACGTGCCACAACATTGCTTTTTCACTTTTTTTTTTTTTTTTTTTTTTGTTTCGCCGTATCTTTCATATTGTTTTCTCATTGTATGTTACAGTAATAAATTTATTTAATTGTTAACTCTGCATCTGTGTTTTCTATTGTCTTTGTTCCAATGGGCAGAATACAGTGATCTCCCTGCCTTTTGAGGGTTGGACGGGCCCTACTAACATCAGTTAACGTTTAATTTCATTTGTGTTAATATTTTGGTTCGTTATTGGGTTCATCTCCCTCCCCATCTCATTTTTTCATCTAAGAATTTTGTACATATGTGTTAGGATCATTAAATTATTATGACACGGGGAGCGTTTTGTAGGTCTCCCTAGAGTGGATGTGGTATTATGGTGCATGGAGGATTGATTAGTGACGGACGGTGAATGAGTAAATTGTAATGTCTGAATGGGTCGTGAATCAAATTAGCTAGGTATAAGATAGTTAGTGAAGACCAGCCTTTTACCCACTCCCCCTTTTCGGCTTTGTGCCACAATTTTGTATTTATACAAAATAAATCTATATTGTCTGTCACTCGCTGTGTGGATTCCTTAAGCAATTCCAGCTCGACCGTTTCTGATCAATCAAAAAGACACCCCTGGGGAAAGAAATTTTGTTATATTAATTTTATACACGTTGAAATACTTATATAGGTTACGATCCTCCTCTATCTACGCTATAAATCCGGTTAGAGGAAGGTGGCGGTCCTAATATATATATATATATATATATATATATATATATATATATATATATATATATATATATATATATATATATGAATGCCATCAAACAATGTGGAGAAACTTTAAACTTCTTTTCAATGAAATTGTTCTTAATATATAAAGTAAATTATATATCGTTTGCCCATATGTAATATATATATACATATATATCATAATGAAGAAAGATCGAGGTCGGTCTGAAATATCAAATATAAATAAATACTTTCATAAAAAACATTATAATTTTTTAATTTGCAACTTTTTAGTTGTCATATATATATATATATATATATATATATATAGAGAGAGAGAGAGAGAGAGAGAGAGAGAGACAAAACGATTTGGTTTGAATATATATATATATATATATATATATATATATATATATATATAGCTAAAAATTAATATCTCAAAACCAACTCATACAGATACAAACGGAATACTTCAACCTAGACCTAAGCCGCAACATTCATTCTCTCCACTTTGGTATATATATATATATATATATATATATATACCCAATACACAATGTTTAAAATAAAAATTGGGCTTCTATTTCAAATACGACTCTTCACCATTTTAAAGTAATTAAATCAGGTTAAAAAACAAATACATTAATTCTTTAGAAATATATAGAGAATGAATATAAGTTAAATGTTTATCACTTAGCTGCTTGATCTTACGTTATATATATATATATATATATATATATATATATATATATATGTGTGTGTGTGTGTGTGTGTGTGTGTGAGTGAATGAAAATCAAGAGGAAAATTATACTTATTTTAACCGACGCGTTTCGTCATTCGACGAACTTTTCAAAACAAATGTGATATTTTTATTTTACAACAATTATATGTTATATAGTTATTCAAAGTTTCAAAATTTAAGAATGCTCATAAATATTCAGCAATTTAACTGAAAAAAATTCCCTGCTAGATATTAGATTACGTCATATATCATCTTTGAAAGGAATCTTTTTAAATTTAAAGACGCTCAATAGCTGAAATGTCTAAGCATTTAGACCTTAGAATGCGTCATTTAGTATATTCGAAAAAGAAAGAAGAAAAAAAAGAAAAAAGAAAAAAAAGTTTCTCGAATTGAAAGATAAGCTGGACGTTTTGTATTATGCTCCTCCAACAATTGAAATGATGGATTCAGCCGTTTTCTTTTGATTTTTCAACGCATTTGTTGTGTATATTGGCTTGGGGAAGTAATAAACCGGGACGTAGATTTATATTTTGATAATATTCAATGGCAGCACTTTCGAGGATTTTCCTTTTGGATAAATTACTTTCTCTTTTGATGATTGTGGCATTTTTTAGATCAAAAGTGTTGTCGAATTTATTTCTGTGTATAAATAGTGCATGTGTTAAATTATTATTTATAAGGTCGCTTTTGTGTTCATAGACACGATTTTTTTATATCTGCTTGTTCCCCCCAATTTATTGTGAAGAACACTCTAGGCAATTTATTTTATATATGCCTGTTCGCAAACTATTATCGATATGGGTGTTTTTAGATCTGACCATATCTATGATTTGTAACTATTTGGATGTTGTTTAGATGGAATAAGTTATTTTGGATAGTGGATATTATAGAATTGGTAAGTAGTATTATGTATCTGTTTTTGAATAATTTATTATTGTAGATAATGTTATTTTTGTTACGGTCGTATATTTTTTGTACCTTACTCTTTGCGTTGTGGATGAAGTGATTTAGTTGTTACCGTCGTGGAAATTAGAAGCAGCGAAGCGAGTTCAAATTACGGATAAGGTTTCTTGCATCAAGTTCGCACTAATGACCTCGGGAAATGCATGAAATGATTTTTTCCTTTAATCTCTGAATAAAGTTATGTGGTACAGGCTATTTTATGTAGATTTTGGACAGCTTGTCTAGGGAAAAGCAAAGTCTGAATTTAAAAGAAATTAGGCTGAAGAGGTGTTGTTCTGCAATATAGGTGGTACCATAACGGCCCTTGAAAGACTTCTTCTTCTTTTATGTGTCGTGTCCCTTCAGTACGTAAGCAACCATGGCTCTCCACATCTTCCTGTCCCTTGTAAGTCTTAGTAAGTTTTGTCTTTTTGTTATTTCTTCCAAAACCTGTTCTACCATCCATTTGTTCAAACCCATTAAGTATATTTCGCGTTGCTTTCCTCTGTGCCTCTTTCCCTCAATCTCTCTCTGTGAGTATCAGATTTTCCAAGCCATCCTTCCTCATTACATGTTCCAGAAATTTCAACTGCTTCTTCCTGACGTTAAATAAATTTTTCCCTTGTGTATCAGTTTTCTCTAAAACCTCGTTGTTGCTCACATGTTTGGTCCATGGTATTCTCAGCATCCTTCAGTAGAATCACGTTTCTGTTGCTTCAAGCTTCTATTTCATTCGCTGGAGGTCAGATATCACGTAACAGTTCAGTTCTCTTTTCTTTCTTTCTAACGAAATTTTTCTCTTAATACTCTGCTTAGCTTTTGGAAGGCATCTTTGGCCATCCCAATACAGGATAAAAAAAAATCTAGTATATTATAACTGACAATGTCGTGGAGAGTTCTTTAAAACTGTGCTTAATATATTTATTTTTAGTGGTTATTGGAACCGGATATGATAAGGTAAACAGATTACCAATGTCAGGGTCACCAGTACGTGTTTTTGACTCTTTCTCTTTTGCGCGTATTAACAGGGGGTGGAGGGTATGAATAAACATATGGCGCTGTTTGTTTATTCGCCTCCTCTCACCTTTCCTTGCTCTGTCTCCCTTTTTCATTAAATTTCCTTTACTCTTTCTTTTTTTATCTCTCTTCTGGGATATTCACTTTCTCTCTCTCTCTCTCTCTCTCTCTCTCTCTCTCCTCTCTCTCTCTCACACACACACACACACACACACTTACAAACACACACTGGCCTATTTATTTCTAATAATATTTCTCCTCCTCTCCTTTCAATTTCTCGTCGTCAATCTCCCTCAAAGTTCTTCTCTCTGCTACTTTTTCTGTTTCTGTGGCTTACGGCCGCATCACGTTGATACATCGGTTCCCCTACGATCACCGAAATTGAGCAACGTCGAAGCTGGTCAGTACTTAGAAGGGTGAGTGCTCTGAACACTTTCCTCTGTTCCATTCTCTCTCACTTTCCTCTGTCCCATTCTCTCTCTCCTCTCTGTTCCATTCTCTCTCTCTCACTTTCCTCTGTTCCATTCTCTCTCTCTCTCTCTCTCTCTCTCTTTTCTCTGTCCCATTCTCTCTCTCTTCTCTGTTCATTCTCTCTCTCTCTTACTTTCCTCTGTTCCATTCTTTCTCTCTCTCTCTTTCCTCTGTCCCATTCTCTCTCTCTTCACTGTTCCATTCTCTCTCTATTTCCTCTGTCCCATTCGCCCCCCCTCTCTCTCTCTCTTTCCTCTGTCCCATTCTCTCTCTCTTCTCTGTACCATTCTCTCTCCCTCACTTTCCTCTGTTCCATTCTCTCTCTCTCTCTCTTTCCTCTGTTCCATTCTCTCTCACTCTCTCTCTCTTTCCTCTGCCCCATTCTTTCTATCTCTCTTTCCTCTGTCCCATCTCATTCTCTATCTTTCTTTCCTCTGTTCCATTCTCTCTCTCTCTCTCTCTCTCACACACACACACACACACACACACACATTCCCCTGTTCCATTCTCTCTATCTGTCTCTCTTTCCTCTGTCCCATTCTCTCTGTCTTCTCTGTTCCATTCTCTCTCTCTTTCCTCTAACCCATTCTCTCTCTCTCTTTCCTCTTTCCCATCCCATTCTCTCTCTCTTTTTCTTTCCTCTGTTCCATTCTCTCTCTCTCTCACTTTCCTCTGTTCCATTCTCTCTCTCTCTGTCTCTCTTTACTCTGTCCCATTCTCTCTCTCTCTCTCTCTCTTTTCTCTGTCCCATACTCTCTCTATTCTCTGTACCATTATCTCTCTCTCTCTCACTTTCCTCTGTTCCATTCTCTATCTCTCTTTCCTCTGTCCCTCTCTCTCTCTCTCTCTCTCTTTCCTCTGTCCCATCTCATTCTCTCTCTTTCTTTCCTCTGTTCCCTCCTCTCTCTCTCTCTCTCTCACTTTCCCCTGATCCATTCTCATTATCTGTCTCTCTTTCCTCTGTCCCATTCTCTCTGTCTTCTCTGTTCCATTATCTCTCACTTTCCTCTGTTCCATTCTCTCTTTCTCTCTTTCCTCTGTCCCATTCTCTCTCTCTCTCTCTCTTTCCTCTTTCCCATCCCATTCTCTCTCTCTCTCACTTTCCTCTGTTCCATTCTCTCTATCTGTCTCTCTTCACTGTTCCATTCTCTTTCCTCTGTCCTATTCTCTCTCTCTTTCCTCTGTACCATTCTCTCTCTCTCTCTCTCTCTCTCTCTCTTTCCTCTGTCCCATCTCATTCTCTCTCTTCCCTTTCCTCTGTTCCATTCTCTCTCTCTCTCTCTCTCTCTCTCTCTCACTTTCCCCTGTTCCACTCTCTCTGTCTCTCTTTCCTCTGTCCCATTCTCTCTCTCTTCTCTGTCCCATTCTCTCTCTCTCTCTCTCTTTTCTTCTGTCCCATCCCATTCTCTCTCTCTCTCTCTCTCTTTCTTTCCTCTGTTCCATTCTCTCTCTCTGCATCTCTCTTTCCTCTGTCCCATTCTCTCTCTCTCTTCACTGTTCCATTCTCTCTCTCTTTCCTCTGTCCCATTCTCTCTCTCTCTCTCTCTCTCTCTCTTTCCTCTGTCCCATTCTCTCTCTCTTCTCTGTTCCATTCTCTCTCTCTTCTCTGTTCCATTCTCTCTCTCTCTCTCTTTCCTTCTTTCTCTCTCTCTTTCTCCCACACACTTGCACACACACTGAAATCCACACACACATACAGCAATCTATTCCTTGTAATGTTCTTGCTTTTGTCCTTTCACTTTCTCACATTTCTTCTCACTCAACATCATTCTCTTTCCTCTCCTCCCTGTCTCTCTCCCTGCCTCCTCTCTCTTAACTCCTGATCCTCTATCTCTCATATGACCAGCACTATGTTCAATTTCCGTTAGCCGCCCTAATAGTTTTTCATAAAGTAGATATTTGTACTTAAGCCGGGCGAGTCAATGAATTTTAAAACCTCGAACTCCATCAATTCCAGTAAACCACAATTTCCCGTCACTCCTTTAGATTAACGGCCACTACACAAGGCTACTAAAATACTGCAGTCGTTACTAAAGATATCATTTGTTGACATGTAATAAAAACGAAGGTAAATATTCATCGTTGAATAAACACAGCGTTGTATAGGAAAATTCTCGGCTCGAATGTCTTCAAGTCACCATATTGCCTGTGCACTACACACGCGCTCGGCTCAGCTTTTCACAATTCCCTTTAACTCTTTTCTGCAATTTATGTATATACATATGTATGTGTATGTTTGCATGTGTGTCGGAGAGAGAGGGAGAGTGGGTGTGCGTGGGGCGTGTGCGCTTGTAGATCTTGCTAAAGGTAATTGACCATAAAAATTAGTTTCCACAGCATCTTCGATTTAAATCATTCAATAAAAAATTACAGCTCACAAACGGTTGTGTGCTGAAGCCATCAAAATTCAGTACCACATTCGGTTCAACCCCAGTTTTCCGGTTCGCTCAACTTGTGGGCAGTTCTGTTTACAGATAGATAGATAGATAGATAGATAGATAGATAGATAGATAGATAGATAGATAGATAATGATAATGATAATTTTGGGATATAGACAGTGTGGTTGGTCATAGGAATCAACATGATGTATGCTGACTGTCAGTTTCAAATCTTACTGTGATCCTAGTCGGAAAATCTCATTGAGGCGTGAAAGTGTAGTGGGTAGAAATTTTCCTGCTAGCCGGTCCAACTACATGAGAAAGTTGGACTTTAATTAAGTCCAAAGAAGACAAGGAAAAACAAACACAAGACCGATAAATATATGTATACAAATATATGTATTAATAACAAGAAAGGTTACAAGTTACATTGAGTGTGTATTGTTCTTAGCGTGTTCCCAGAATTTGGGAAACGCTGTATCTGTGAGAGCTCACATCTGCAAGGTGGTATAAGGCTGAATGCCTGAGGAAAAAAGATATTTACAGCCAGGGGAGAGAGAGCCCTGTTGAAGGATTAAGGATGTGATGAGGAGCTACCTCGGACAAAAGTAAGTGTCACAATGTATTACTGATTCCTCTGTCCATAATCCTATATATTGCAAGAACATTAGAACACTACATATATTGTCTTTTTACAGATATATTTTTAGTTTTGCCTGAATTTTTACACACACACACACACACACATATAATGAGCACAATATACATATATATATATATATATATATATATATATATATATATATATATAAAGGAAAATGTGTTATTTTTGAATTTGGAAATGATTGTATGCACACATGGATGCGGATACATAATTGTATGTATACAAATGTGTAGATGGACTTGGACATTGACATGTGGTTTTCTGTGTATATGTATATGCATTTGTATAAGGGTGTATATATACATATATATGTATATATGTATTGTAGGCGCATATGTAAATATATATATGTGTATATGTGTATTCGTAAGTTTAGGTAGGTATATTTATATATATATATATATATATATATATATATATATATATATCGTGTCATGTAATATAGGATTGCATGTGGTCTGTATATGTATATGTATATATATATATAAATGTAAGTATTTGTGAATTCGTATATGTAATATGTGTGAATATATGTAGGATATAGTAATATGAATACATATGCATATATTGGTATTTATGGGTATAGATTTGTTTTATATATATATAGAGAGAGAGAGTATTCTAATGGGAGAACATAAAATTCTTTTATTAATGTTTAATCTTATTTTCTCTTTAAATATTCTCTAATTAGATTTGTGAGATTGAAAATTTTTTATCATCTGGAGGTAATTTCATGTTAAATTGATAATTTAATTTAAATTTAAATATATTACTCTTTAACTATATATCTTGATAGTAAAAGTATCAAAATTAGAAATATTGTTTTTGATATTTAAACACTTATGTCACCAACTAACGTTAAACATTAACTGTGAAATTTAAGGAAAAATTTAAATAGATATAAATATAAATATGTGTAAATATTTGTAAATGTATGTGTAAGCATTTATATATGTATATGCATAGGTACCTGTGTATATCGATGCATATATGTGTGCCTATGTGTGTAATTGCACACGTAAATGAACGTATGTATATGTGAGATTTACATAAGTGTATATGTGGAAAAACAAAACTTTTAATATTATCTTCAAATATTACTCCATCTTAATTTGAAACCTAAACTTTAAGTAAGAAAAATTATCCATCTAAAAATAGTTACAAATTACATTCATGAATTAGACTCAATTTAATAAAGATGTTACCTTAACAGTCATTTACAATATTAAAAGATTACTATCAGTAAACTTTTATATTTTAAATATTTTTCTTAATGTGTTTTTTATTAACGTGTTTTTAAATATAGTATTTAACTCATATTAAATCCCTAAATTATTTGTAAAAGAGTTGAGTATTTAAATTGCTAGCAAGCATCAAATTAATTTCTTCGTGGATTTTTTTAAACATTTAAATTACTATCAAACGTTAAAATCTGTTTTTTTACCTAAATCGCTAAAACTATACCACCCCTCTTCTTCCTCCGTAAACCCTAAATACATCTCCTTTCTCTTTATTTCCCCCTTCTTTCTTTTTTCTTTTTCTCACTTCTCTCCTTCCCTTTCAACATATCATTTCCGTTAAGAGATTAAATAGATCAATGTCTGGTCCTTCATTCCTCAATACTATGTATGATAGAAAGAAATATAAAAATAAACCCTCTCTAAACTCGACCATGTCTCTCACACCACTCCTCGTTACCCTCTCTGTTAAATTACATAAACTTAATACTACCCATCAAAAGTGTAAATTTTCATTTCACTTTTCGTTTCAACTTTTTGGAAGTGATGTCTGATGATCCAGGGTACTTTAAAAGATCTCTGGTGAAATAAACTATTACAATGGAGCCTTAAAGTGTCCTGTTTTTCTTTAAATTATATATATATATATGTATATGTATGTGTGTGTGTGTGTGTGTGTGTGTGTGTGTGTGTGTGTGTGTGTGTGTGTGTGTTTTTTACTCGTTATAAACTAACTTTTCTAATCGATTTTTGAAATTTGGTGTCTCGGAATTGATTTCATCCTACTCTATTTTTTCATAAAAATTGAAACTTTTCCTCATTGATCAAATGAGGAAAAGTCTCACTTCTTTCGATATGGATTTTCTTCTCGACGATACCAACCCCACCTTAATTGTCAATGCAGTGGTCGAAATGTCCTTAGTAATGACTAAAGTTTACAGGCTTTAAAGCGTCTTTGTGGAAATCCTGTTTTGTTGTTTCGTTGTCTGTTTCTAAAATCACAGTGTCTATTCTTTGTTTGAAACCGTTGTTGTAAATATCTCATTATGCCTGTCGTTCATATTTTGCCTTCATTATCGTCTTCTTCCTTTTGTTTTGCATTGGACATGTTGATGTCTTTCTTTATAAATGTCTTTAAAAATTGATCAAAACCTTCGAGCAGAGAATTGTTTCATATACACGCATTATTTGCAGGCGTAAATTTAGGTCTGGTTAACGCCAAGAATTTATTAAAAAAAAAATAATCACGAACCGCAAAAAAAGAAAAATTGTCTTGTGCTTGTAAAATCCGGGGTGTCTGCATGGTATAAATATCCATTGTATTTGTCAAACTCGTTCAATCTATTTCATCTGAGGTTTTGATTTCACCAACAAATTCGAACAAAATAGCTGTGCTCCATAACTGCAAGTCTAATGTCTCTAATCATTCCAGCAAATACTTAATGGAAAAAAGCAAACCAAAATTAAACAAAATAAACAAAATCTGCATTCTAGCATGAAAAGAAAATATATAATATATATATATATATATATATATATATATATATATATATATATATATATATATATACGCTGCGCAGTCATTGATTCAGGGAGAAAATGGAACGAAAGAAAGAAAGAAAGAGATGGAAAACGAGGGATGAAACGACGAAGAGGAAAACAGCAAGCAAAAACGACAAAACACCAGATAAAAAGGGAAAGAGGGAAAATGGTACAGGTCTGTGTATTTGAAGAAAGAAAGAAAGAAAGAAAGAAAGAAAGAAAAAAGAAAGAAAGAAAGAAAGAAAAGGAAAAGGAAAGGAAAGTGTAGAGGAAGGAAATAATAAGAATGGAGAAAGAAGAAACAATAAATAAAGAAAAGAGAAGGAAAGAAAAGGATATGGTAACACAAAGAAAGAAAGAAAGAAAGAAAGAAAAAAATTAAATTGTAAACAAAGAAAGAAGGAAAGAAAGAAAGAAAAGGAAATTGTCGAGGAAAGACAGAATGCGAACGAAGAAAGAAGAAACAATAAAGAAAGAAAGAAAAAGGGACGGATAGGGAAATAAGCTTGTTCTCTTTCTTTTCTTCTTTCCCAGTTTTTAATTTCATCTTTTAAAAAAGGAAAGACATAGAGAGATCAAGAAGATAAATTGAGAGTAAGTCAAGTGTTGTGTGTACGTGCGTGTCTGTGTCTGTGTGTTTGTTTCTTTGTGTGTGTGTTGCCCTCGGTAAAGCAAGGCGAACACCCTCATTGGCGTAATTTGGCGAAATGATTAGAAAAACGAAAAGTGAGAAATTTACTCAGTTTAGACACATCCGCATCGATCAAGTGATAAAAAAATATTGATATATTTTGTCGATCCGAATCGTTTCCATCGTTTATTTCATTTTATTTTATTCTTTTTTACAATGAACAATATAATTCCATTGGATGAAAAGTCTTATCCTAAACACAAGACCCACATCCGTATCTATATTTCTATATTTTTTGAATTTGAAAGATTTCCAAAAGATAAATATAGACCATTTTCGTGATATTAAATGCCAATACGAAAAGATGGA